ATTTTGCTTTCCGATTTTCCTTTTTTTTCGAGTTTTCGTATTTTCGTGGGTGGAGCACTCGAATAATTTTTTTATGGTAGGAGGACTCATCGCATCGGAGAACTGACCCTCCTATAACCACCGCTGGATCCCCCAGAACACGCTCCTAAATTCTCACGACGATCGGTTCAGCCGTTTTTGAGTCTATAGGGTACGCCGGACGAACAAACAGACAAACAGACAGACAGATCCTGGCATTCTTGACTCCACATGAAAACGGCATCCTTCTTCAAGAGAGTCGTCAAAGGGCTCGTGAATGCTGCGTATCCGACGACGAACGTTCTGAAGAACGAGGTCAAACCGAGGAATCGTCTCACCTCATGAACATCATTCGGCCGCGCAAATTCTGCTATCGCTGCCACCGTCCCCGTTCCAGGTTGAATTTCCTCCCTCACTGAGCTTGAATCCCAGGAACTGCACGACCGACATGAAGAATTTACATTTCTTGAGTCCGATGGTCTACCCTGCTTCCCTCAAGGCCCTCAGAATACGCTCTATCTGCTCGAAGTGTTCAGCGTATTTGTCGGATGCGGTGATTAGGTCGTCTAAATACGGGAAGGTGTTGGAAATACTCCACGTCTCTTCTGGAACTTCAGTATTTTTCCGAAATCATCGCCGTCTGGGCTATTCTTCAGATCTGAGAACGCCAGTTCGCGGTCGAGCAGACCAGAGAGAGCGACACGAAAGACAGCTCAATGCAGCCAGGGTGGCCATCGATCGCCACGGAAGACCAGGCTCCGCATGGAACATGGATCTGATGGATATCGAAGATCCCTCAGCGGGAAATCATCGGAGGCAGTTCGGGCCGTGGTCTCTGAGAGTGTGGTTGTTGATTGCTCTTGAGAATTATTGTGGTCTCTGGTGGATTTATCACGGCCGGTTGGGATATTTTCTGTTGTGTTTCTCTTTTTTTGATTTGGCTTCCTCGACTATTCCGTTTTACAAGCAGTTAGTTTTTTCTAGGAGTCGTGGTGTTTCGGGAGATCACTCTTTCGCAGAGGATGAGTTACTCGATGCATGTGGCCACCGAGACGACCGCTACCGTGAGCAGTCGAATAGGTGGGAAGCTGAGCATGTCGGAGTCCACGGATCGGATTTCGTTGGACTCGTTTGCGTGTATCGTCGAGGAAGGACGTTTTCACTGCTATTCTAAATTAAGAAGACAGTGTGTACTCCTATCATCCGGTCGAAAGCTGAAGCCAGACGAGGTGAAGGTGCGTCACGGCGAGGGAGCAGAGATCGACGTTTGCTTTCATTATGAGCGTTTTGTCGACGCGTGAACGGCCAGTATCCGACTAATATATCTACATGTATATACAAAATTATGTTCCTCAGGTAGAAAAACAATACACACGAGAACATTGACTCTTGTATACGGCATGTCAAAATTGGGAAGCTTCGTAGGTTTATTCGTACTGATGTAGCGTTGGGCTGAATGGGAAGCTGTCCTCTGCGGGAATGCGTTGTTCGATTGGAACATAGAGTCTGATCAATTCATTCACTTTTTCTTTGAGTCGATGTTCCGACTGTTGGAGACGGGCCGTGGTTAACCTCTCATCTCGTAGCTTCTTTTCCAAGTCGTGGATTTTCTTTTGGGAATTTTCCAGCTCGTGCTGCGCTTTTCCACGATGCAGTTCCAGAGTGTCGGCCAGGTCTTCACTGATGAAGGCCGCCGCGATCACGAATTGTTCTTTGATCGCATTGAACACCCTCGCAGCCTATTGACCTCGGGCCGAAGTGGGTGTTATTCCCAATCTGTCGAAGGTGCGGCGATCAGCGTTCGAGATGATCGAGCCCACTGGTTCAAGGTTGAGGAATTCCTTCTCCCCAGTTTTGATAACCTCGATCTCTGATGAGATCGGCGGCGACGGTGAGGTCGGCGAGTGGATTTCGTTCTTAAGGATCACCGTTGTCTCGATATCTGCGGGTTTTTCATCAATTTCTGTTGATGGTTCATTCGCTTCCAGTAACGACTGCCTCAGCAGAGCGCACATTTAGCGCCTTGAGGCGGTTGAAAACTTATCTTAGATCTACGATGGGCGGAGAAGGATTGAATGGGCTTGCCTCGATGAACATAGGGCGTGCAGTGTTTTTCACTCGGGAAGAAGTACTTGACGTCATCGCCTCCGATCCGAGGAAGATGTACTTAGTTTTGCGAGTCACGCATAGCATCAATCTTCGTATTCTCTCAGCTCCTCACCACGAAGCAAGAGCTGTAGATAGTCCTCGGAAAAAAAAAATTTGCCCCCCCCCCAAAAAAAAATTCTGGAAACGCGCCTGGCCACAGTACCTCAATCCATGTCCAGTTTGGCGGTAACTTGTTGATGAGGGTGATGCAAACGATCTCCTCCTTGATGTCAGCATTACACTCGTCCAGTGCGTATTTCAGTCTCTTGAAAGTTGAAATGTTGTCGTCGACTGACTTGTCTCTCCTGTATTCCCAGCTGAGGAAATAGCTCACAGCCACGAATTGTTGAGCTTCGGTTTTCGCTCCGAACCTCTCTTGGAGTTTCTTCCAGATTGAGGCGGCCTGTGTGTGCTCCAGATTCTCATAGAACAGATTAACCTCGAGGTCGCTGTGAATCGAGTTAAAGAGTACATACTTCGCGACGAGATTTCCTCTGTTGTACTTCGCTTGCTGCTTCTTAGGAGACCGGCGAGCTTGGAGAGTCTCGAGAGGTTTGCAGCGTTGTCTATTCCAGAAGCAGTAAGAGAGTCAACGAGGGTGGAGTCTGAAATTGGAGAATCGAGCCGAGAAGAGACATCATCGACTTTCCGACAATGGAGGGAGCCGAGACCGATGTTGATACAGTCGTCGAGTTCATCGAGCGCGTCGAGGAATGGTGCTGTTGCGAACTACCCCCGAACTTCACCCAAAGTAATAAACACTTGATTCTCGGAGTTTTGTACTAGCTACTCGAGTTTTAGTCGGAGCTGAATCCTGAGCGTGGTGTCGTGACCACGTCGTGTTCGCATGTGTGTTTTCGTGCCACCGCGCAGCCGCGCCACCCGAAGATGCCGCGACGTGCGGACGCCCGACGTCCTCGCCCTCAGCTCCGACGGCAACCCGTCTCTCTCTTTGTTAGATATTCTCATAATTAAACTGAGCCATAAACTTATTCGCCACACTCCCGGCCAAATTCCTGCCGATTCTGTAAATTAGTAATAATTGCCAGGGACATCCTGGTACACTTCGTTGAACACATCTTATAACGCGACATTGATACAGACGTCAAGGAATTTGAGAAGACGCGAGACCGGAACGGAAGCAGACAGTGCGCGGAAGACGACTCGGAGGCCGA